TTCGTGGACTAATCTTAAAGTACGTTTTGGAACGGTCCTAAGGAAATTGCCCAACATCCGTGGCCTCACCCAACCACTGTGAACAGATCCACATCAGAGAATGCAGCGCTTCAAGAAGCCTCCAGACATGAAAGTCAAACAGAGAAACACACTCGCCTGAGGCTACAGACGAACATTTGACTTACGAACGCACTGCCACGTCCTGAGGTTACTGTAAATCACACGTTCTTAGAAAGAAATCAGTCCAAAATCATTCAATCCTAAAGCATTTTAGCACTAAAGATGAAACTGACCCACATCCAGAAGAGTGAGCAGGACTGTTTGAGGTTATGGATTTATTGTGTTACATGAAAACACGCACATTCATCACTTTTATTAAGTAACAGTTTTCTGCAAGAAACTGAGGCGTAGCTATGCGGTATATGGGACACTCACAGAAATACCTTGCTTTGCTAAGCATAAAAATAAAGACATCAACCAATGACATCTGTCATTTTATTTTATTTTTTTAATTATGTGACATACGGGGCGAACATCTGTTATTATGAAAATTAGTTGTGGTGTCAAAATATCCCTGACAGTTATTGTTAAACTAAGGTTATAATTAAAATGACAACAAAACCTACTCATCAGGCATTTTATTAGTTTTGTACTTTAAGCGTTTTGACTTGTGATTTTATCCTCTCTGTGCAATCAAGGCGACGATATCGCTGGAAATGAAGTGTCCCCAACTAAGCAAGCCAGAGGCGTTTTTATTCATCACTTTTATTAAGTAACAGTTTTCTGCAAGAAACTGAGGCGTAGCTATGCGGTATATGGGACACTCACAGAAATACCTTGCTTTGCTAAGCATAAAAATAAAGACATCAACCAATGACATCTGTCATTTTATTTTATTTTTTTAATTATGTGACATACGGGGCGAACATCTGTTATTATGAAAATTAGTTGTGGTGTCAAAATATCCCTGACAGTTATTGTTAAACTAAGGTTATAATTAAAATGACAACAAAACCTACTCATCAGGCATTTTATTAGTTTTGTACTTTAAGCGTTTTGACTTGTGATTTTATCCTCATTGACATGTATAATAAAGCAGGTGAAAAATCCCATAAACTTACATTGAAGCAGGGATTGAAACTTCTCAACACTTCAGAAAAAGTAAACATTTAGCTGAATGAAACGAATGACTGAATGGCTGCTTTCTATAAAATCAATCAATCATTCACCTGTTTAATAGGGCAGCAGCCGAGTGTTTCTGTCAGACGTGGTTCTGGCTAATTAGGCCTGTAGTATAAATAGCAGTTCCAAGTCACATTAATTATAGCCCAGTCCAGAGGGAAATACACAGTTAAAACGACTACAAACTCTATTATGAGTAAAAAGAGAACAGGAGAACTGTGCAATGGAAATATAGAAGCTGCCGCATGAGCGCAATGATAAAACTAGGGCTGGATTTACATCCTCAGCTCATAACTACAGGCCATCCAGGTTTGCATTTACTGAAGCAACAAAATAATAGTGTTATTTAAGTATCATGTAAATTCTATTAAAGTTTTTATTAATATTTTTCGTTTTTGATCCTTTTTTATTAGTCTTTTTTAAATATCTCTATATAGTTTTTATTTGTTTTAAATGTAGTTTTATTTTTTAGTTATTTTGTATCATTTAAATACTTTTACAGTTTTTATTAATAATTGTAATTAGTTTTCATTTTAGATTTCATTTTTATTTTTAGTTCAAGTGAATTTGTTGTGTGGTTTTGTTATTTTTTTATCTCCATATACTATAGTTATTTTTTCAGTTTTAGTTACTTTAACTGAAATTATAAATAAAAAAATAAACATGAAAACCGTTGCCTTGGCAACTAGCAAAAACAAAATAAAGTTAATTTTTTTAGATATAGTTTTTCTTTTAAAGTACATTATTTTAGGTTCATTTTAGTTTAAGTTAACTAATAACCCGGTTGAAGTTTTATTTAAATAGTTTGTATTAATATTTAGAATTATTCTTTATTTTTCATTTTTATTTAATTTTAGCTTAATTTTTTAGTATTTTTTGTTTTAGTTCCATACATTTTTATTTCAATTTTTTTGCTTAATCAAGTTAAACTAAATGAAAATGGAGAAATGTTGCCTCGAGAAGTACCTGGGA